AAAAAAAAAAAAAAAAAAAGTTAATGTTTCAGAGCAGTGAGACAAGTTATATAGGAATTTACACAGAGCTGGGAATATGTAACCAATAATTCGTTACCTTATCATGGATAAGGCACTTAATTTCTGCTTCAGTTTTTGTAATATGGGGATATGATTCATCTCCCACCCACCACAGAACTATGAATAAAATATTAAACTAATGACTCTAGAGCATTTTAACACAGAGTGCTACTAGTACAGAAATATTAAAAATGTAGGGCTGAAAGGAACATAAAGAATTCATGCACCAGCCCCTCAATCTGAGGCATAACTAAACGCATATAAATGTTGTGCTCCTATCAAAAGCAACAAAGTAAATTGGAGTTAAAATAGAATATTTAACATATGCAGCAATACCTTGTAGCCGTTGTCTTGCTTTGGGTTATGGGATGCAGTAATCATGATTCCAGCACAAAGTTTTAGATGAGTTATTGTGTATGGCTGTGAAAAAGTAGAAGAGAATTATTTTGAAATGAAACACTAAGACACCCAATCTCTATTCAAGTAGCAACTGGATCCCCCACAACACAACATCAAATATATATAGGCTTGATTACTTTCAGTCTCCTAAACTAAATCTTAAATTTGTGAACAAAATTTACATCACTAGAAAAGTTTTCAATGTAGCTATTTAAGAATGAATGTGCATGTGGACAATATGAATGCACAATACAGAAATTAGTACTGCTAATTTCTGTATCAGCAGGCATTGCAGTAACAATGCATTTTGTTAGGAGAAATCAAGTTTTCAAAACTATATCTTTTTTTTATTCTCACTGATCTTGAGCTACATTTAGTGGCCCAACTGCTTAATTGCAGGGATATTTAGTACAACATGTATGCAATATAATAGTTCAAATTCAAGGAATGCATGTTTTCCCGAAGACTGAATCTGAACCAAAACACACTAAAATGATGAAAACGAAGAAAAACACTGTGTGTGTGAGAAATTATTTTTCTGCTGAAAATTTCCTTTGGGTATAGCCAATTAATTTCACAGCATCATCCAAATAAAGTTTATTTAGAACAAGAGCCAGCCAGGATACAGAGTGCAATAGAATCCTCTAGTTTGGAACACCATTGTGAACTTTTTGCCCCCCATTAAGAGATGCTCTGAACATTTTAGGAATAATGCTAGTTTTCCAGGAAACAGAACATTTCCATCTTATTACAGAACAGGGCTAGGAATTTGGAAGTGGGGGGAGGGGAGGACTGTGGGTGCTGGCCCCAGTCTTCAGGGCTGGCCGGGCCAGCTCCTGCAGTCCTGGTGCTGCAGCTGGGAACAATATAGTGGTGGAGAGGCTGGCTGGCGGACGGCGAAATGGCTGTGGCAAGTGGGGGGAAGGGGTAGGGAGTGAGTGTGCGGAGTGCAGAGACAGCTGAGCGGGAGCGTAGGGTCTATGCCATGGGGCCAGTGCCAGCTCCAGCTTCATAGAGCCCCTGGCAGCCCAGACCCCACACTCCTGCTACCCCGTTCTGATTCCCGCTGTGCAAACCCTGCACTCCCGCAAGGCTGTCACTGAGCTCCTCACGCTCACACGCTGACCCTTCCCCCTGCCTGCTGCAGCCATTTCCCTGCTTCCCCACACAGCCCCACACCAGATGCTGCTTGCCACTTCAAGTTCTGCACTGCCTGGGTTAGGAGTCCCCTGCCTGTGTGGCAGCAGCTGGAGCAGTGGCACAGGATTGTGCCCCTTGCTGCTGCTGCGCAGGCAGGGGACGCCTCACCAGGGCAGCACGGAGCTCGCAGTGACAAGTAACTTTCCCATGCAGTCCCACTCTGCCCTGCCACACTGTGTTGCACCTGCTGGGCTGCAGAGGCCTCAGGCAAGGGCAGCAGAGCAGGGAGCCTGAGCTCACAGCAGGCAGCCCACCTCTGCCCCGCGCACAGATCTGGGGGTAACAGGTTCCCCCCTGCTCCACTGCAAGTACGTAGTGGTGGGGAGCTGGCCCCACTCTCCACTCAAGCCTGCAGCAGGCAGCCAGCAGGCAGTGGGGGTGGGGGAGGAAGCTGGGCTCTGCTCTGTTGCAGCAGCTGCCACCTTGTGTGGGCAGCAGCCAGGGCTCAGGTGTAGCTGCAGAGGGCAGGGGGCTGCAGACCTGTGTCCGTGGCCCATAGTCCTGGCAGCTGGAGGCCACCTCTGGCGGGGCTGGGGGGTGAGGGGCACCAGCAGGGCCGGAGGG